AAAAAAAAAAAAAAAAGATAATCATCATTGTAGGATGAGATTATTCAGGAACCACTTCTCCATCTAATGGAATTTGAGTAACTGTTCTGTAAACCTAGGTTGGTAGAGTTTATTGTCTTCCAAGATATCCTTGGCAACAATGTACAATGATTCAGTACAGGACCTTTTGTATAGGTAAGACAAAACTGGGAGGAAAATAATAAAAACCACGCAGGCTTTCCAGATGGAAATGGAGGAAATATGGTATGCTACCAAGACCATGGTCTTTGGAGTTGGGTGAGTCAGTGTTGAAGTGCCCTCATACACTCTGCTGTTGTGGTACTTCGAGTGAATTGCTTAACTCTCTGAGCTGCAATATTCTTCTCTATAAACATCAGACTCTACTACCTAACACACACAGGAGTGTGAAGATGGCATGCAATCACCCCTGCAGAAGTGCCTAAGACAGTACCAGACACAGGGCAGTTGCTCACAGGATCCTATTTGTTTTCTTCTCCCTTTTCATTCTAGCTGCAAATCACACTGGTTTTAAGTCAAAGGCATAATTTTCTTAGTCTTAGAAATTACAGGACAAAATGGCTGTTCTTAATTTTGCTGTGATGTCAGGGTCTCAGGCACCAGAAGATGCTACTCAGAGGACTGCTCACGTATGCAGCATCTTTGGACTTGCTCTCTGAGCCAGTTGTCTTCATATTAGATAATTTCTATCAATAATGCTGCAAGTCAGTTAAAAATGTACATAGTTTCTTGTTTGTAATCTTGTCAAAGACTTCTTATCATTTGTGTATAGGAGGAAGCTATGTCTGACCTTTAAATATCTTTAAATTAATAAGAAAAGTAGGATGCAATGTGGTTTTGTATACAAGATTACAAATATGTATGTGCGTACAAGGTATCGAGAAATATGATAAACATAGCTATGTTTGGGTAGTGGCATTATAGGTTATTTTTCTAAAAAATATTTTTATGAGTCTTATTTTGACACAGTTTTCTCAATTAGGAAAAAGAATATTGGCCGGGCCCGGTGGCTCAGCCTGTAATCCCACGCTTTGGGAGGCCGAGGTGAGTGGATTGCCTGAGCCTGTGAGTTCAAGACCCGCCTGGGCAACTTGGTGAGACCTCATCTCTACAATAAATCAAAAAATTAGCCGGGCATGGTCGCACGCTCCTGTAATTCCGGCTACTTGGAAGGCTGAGGCGGAAGGATTGCCAGAGCCTAGCAGTCAAGGGCTGCAGTGGCCGGGAGCGGCCACTGCACTCCAGTCTGGGCGACAGAGTGAGACTCCAACTCAAAAAAAAAAAGAAAAAAAAGAAAAAGAATATTTAAAAGTACACATATCTAGGCTGGGTGTGGTGGTTCATGCCTGTAATCCCAGCACTTTGGGAGACTGAGGCAGGAGGATTGCTTGAGTCCAGGAGTTTGAGATCAGCCTTAGGCAACATAGTGAGACTCATCTCTATAGAAAATTAAAAAATTAGCCGAGCATGGTGGCACAAGCCTACAGTCCCTGCTACTTGGGAGGCTGGGGTGGAAAGATCACCTGAGCCCAGGAACTGGAGACTGCAGTGACTGCACACCAGCCTGGGTGACAGAGTGAGACCCCAACAACAATTTAAAAAATTATATATATATAGTGGTTATGGCTACTTAAAATGTATATATTGTCAGCCGGGCTCGGTGGCTCAGCCTGTAATCCCGCACCTTGGGAGGCCGAGGTGAGTGGATTGCTTGAGTCCGCGGGTTCGAGACCCGCCTGGGCAACTTGGTGAGACCTCATCTCTACAATAAA